ATATACAGGATCATAGTGGTGGTGTTATCATGCATTATAAAGGGTGATAACAGATGTGGATGTGAATTGCATCTTTTTCAGCGTTTGGAGGAGGAGGAGGAGGTGGAGAGAGGAGTGTGTGAGAGAGGGACTGTGAGAGAGAGACACTGTGAGCTCTTATCAAACCGTTCGAAGGTATAATGCACAGTCAACTTTACCCAGACGCAAAAACACACGGAATCTAAACTTGGATTATAGTCCCTTCAACTCTATTTTAACTTTTCCTTAACTTCTGACTCACAATTGTAGAAATAATACCCTGAAGAAAACGAGGAATTCCCAACCTTCATAACTCAATATAACTCACTTAATATTTGAGTTAATTAATCATTACCATAGAAAAAGAATGCAGGGTAATGTTAGGTAACGCGAAGTATTGTTTATGAAAATGTTGACCTGTGGTGGTTGATTTTGGCACAGGATGGAGTAGTGTGGTGACCCAGTGTTGAGGCCGAGGGTGGCTCAGTGCTGGTGAATCTCTCTTGACCTAATGTTGCTGCTCTCCCTCCTTCCCTCCCTTACTCTCCCTCCTTCCCTCCCTCTCTCTCTCACTTATCCAGTCTCTTTCTCTCTCTCCCTCGTCTCTCAAGTCTGTATAAAATGTCCATGAAACAGATTCTGATATAATTCACATTTTCGGGATAAATTTGGGCCCTCAAGGTCCACTTAAATCACAATTTGGTTCTGAGGCTCCCGACCCGCCACCGCCCCCCATGAGCCAGCTGTCATGGCGAGCCCTTGATGATGTCTGTCGTGTGGCCAGTGCCTCGTGAAGCCTAGTGGCAATGGTAGTGGTGGAAGTGACAACAGGAGGAGAAAGTGCCAACGGTAGTGATGGAGGTGGTAACAGGAGGAGGCGGTGGTAACGGTAGTGGTGGAGGTGATAACAGGAGGAGGCGGTGGTAAAAAATATCAAAACAGGAACATATTTAAAATCTGTAAAGAGAGGGTAGAAGAAGGAAGAATAGGAGAACGGAGAGAAAGAGGAAGAAGACAGGGGCTAAGTAGAAGAGGAAAGAAGAGGAGGAAAAGAAGGAAGAAGGAGTAGGAAGACAAGAAGGAAGAGGAGGAGGATGAGGAGGAAGAAGAAGAAAGAGGAGAAGAACGAGAAGAAAAAGAAGAGGAGGTCAACACACCAAGCAGAGTGCCAAAGTTATGTGCCTCGTCAACACACTCGACCATCACTATTCTCAACCAACAGATGTTTTGCTCCAAGTTATCACACCGACTCGACAACTCGCTGACTATACACCGCCATCAAACTCCTGGCCTGACGTTTACTGATTCAACATAACGTAATGAAAAAAAGATTAGTTATTTTTTGGCTTTTGTTTGTCTAATCCTTCATATTTGGGGATTGGGCCTCTGAAAATATTATTCGAGTTTTTGATGGAATTTAATCAAAGTCGTGTTCCATCTTCCTGTGGGTGAAATCTGCTGGGACAGACGGACACACGGTCATGACTTCCCACTGAACTGGATTTCCGCTTTGACGTTCTGATATAAGATAAAGTTATCATACAAAAAAATCCCTTTCATTCACTCTCCCTTTCTTTACGACCCTCAGCCACCTCCACCATGTTCCTGTACCATCTTTTTATATTTTCATCAACATTATCTGAATCTGTGGAAGTCGTATGTCAAATTATAGCTTTTACTCACTCATATTAAATAGTCACGTATCGAGGTGTTCGTGGGTTATATTCCAGCATGAAGAAGACTTGGGGAGGGGATTCCGCCAACTGGGGTCTAGTCAATTGGTTAAAATAAAAGCCATAAACCGGTCTAGTGAGGTACAAGTGGCTATTGTTCATATTGGGTTGACACTATTTCTTGAGGCCACGGTATATATAAATCAGTCTTCCACACTCAGATATGTGTAATTAAATAGATCTATGAATTAGTGGTAGTCGACTCGGATGTTGAGGAACGATTCTCAAAAGGTTTCAGGCTCCTACAAGTTTCCTGTGTGACTCCAACTCTCTATCATCATGCGGCTGGCAACGTGACCAGACTTCACTGCCTGGCGGCCTGACCACACTGCCACACACCATCCATTACCTGATGATGTTCTCTTACCCTGAAGCCTTTAAAATAATTGACTACCACAATAAACTATTCCAGGCATTACGTACCTAAACCCCGAAAATATGGTTTTTAGCTTTTAAATAACTCTGTTATTTTTATCATCTTCATCCCTTCATTTACATATCAGTTCATCCCAATATGATACGAGTGTGTCCAAAAATCGCACATTAGAGTATTGATTTGTTATATACCAGAGTTCCGGGTCGTTCACCTTGCATAAGTCTCCAAAAACCTCGAAAACTTTTCTCACTTATCATGTCAGTCATGCAGTGTTTGAGTTACAACATTTTTCCACGTCTGTGTAGCGTTAAGGACTAAACCACTGAACGTTTGTATAAATATTATATAGAATCGTATTTTATTACAAGTTTATGATTCATCCGAGTAACAACTACTTCTGAAAGTCACTAAAATAGGGGACACGACCCGGAAGTAAATAATAATTCTAGGTATGACAGCTGTCGTCTTCCGAGAGCCAGCTGCCGCGTCATACACCACCATCTTTTAAGGTTTTTCTTCTCTCTTGCTATTCTTATCGTGCCATTAAGCTTAGCATAAATGGCATAAATTTTCTACGGACTCCGTGGGCTAAGGTTAAGATATATCGGAGATTATATTGGGTTCATTATTCACGGCGTAATAGGTTTTTAAGAGGTGGCAGATTTAGGTCTCAAGTCACGCTGGGGATGTGTACGTGCCTGTGTGTGTGTGTGTTTGCCCGTGTGTATGTGTGTTTGTATGGGTACGAGTTTGTATAAATTACCATAATAAATTGATGTGACTTACCTTAATAAAGTGACAAAAAATCGGATTTTCATCTCCTTGAGGATAATGACTCTCTTGAGGGGAGAAAGTCGACATTAAAAGAAAATTTACGGGATTTTTATGGTCGAAGGAAACTCGATTCCGTCCACTGTGTTGGTCGATCAGCCAGTGAAAATAAGTAGCGACCTTCTACTTGACCTTTGACAGGGAGATACATTTAGAAAAAGTCTCGATGTTTACAACCATTAGGCTAGGTTGGGGTCACAACACTCACGTCTTCACTACCTCACACATCATCCCACGCCCCCTTGATGGGTCGTGTCTGCAGAGTCATTATTCACCATCAGAACCTATTTTCTCGGCCATATATCACAAGGGGTAGGGGTGGTGAGGCTCCTAGATTTGTGGACATATGAGACTAGATGAAATATAATTCACCCAGAAAACACAAAGGAACCATCTGTTAGGATGTAGTGACGTGGGCCTCAGATATGTATGGGAGATGGGACGACAGGGCAATTGGGTACTCAGTTCTGATTGGTGGCAACGTAACTTAACCATTTTTGATTGGTGCCTGTCAGGTCTAGTGCCTACATGTGATTTACTTTTGTCTTTATTACAAACTAAAAATAACATCACGTCTAAACTTATCTACAATTAAGAGGAAAAAATCTAATTAATGTTCTTGTGTTGAAACGATTTGGCAGAGTCAGTTTTTGGTTTTGGATGAGATTTTCCCTAAAACTTTTATATTAAGACAATGTAAACCCAAGCTCTGTGGTGTAGAGAGTAGTGAAGATAATAAACTACTAAATTTACATAAAGTAGGCCATGGTCTCTGCGTAGTTAGTGCTTCAAAAAACAACAAACATTACTGAACTATGTCTGATTTTAGCAAGAATGTTTGGCTGGACCTTGAATATAAAACAGTACTTGGTGGATAATTGAACGAGCTCCTAAAACGACACAACTCAACGGTGTGCGAGTCTTACCAGCAGTTTTCACGAGGCAGGTAAAGGGAGCACCTCACAACACGGGCGCTTACAACCAGAGGGGCGGAGTAACCATTGGTCCTCACCCCAGAGCACTCATGAGCCACTCCCCCCCTCGGTCCTCACCCCAGAGCACTCATGAGCCACCCTCGGTCCTCACCCCAGAGCACCCATGAGCCACTCCCCGGTCTCACCCCAGAGCACCTCATGAGCCACTCCCCTCGGTCCTCACCCCAGAGACCTATGAGCCCTCGGTCTCACCTCACACTCACTCATGAGCCACTCCTCGGTCCTCACCCCAGAGCACTCATGAGCCACTCCCTCGGTCCTCACCCCAGAGCACTCATGAGCCACCCCTCGGTCCTCACCCCAGAGCACTCATGAGCCACTCTCCCACACTTACACCGTGTTAACACCTGATTCAAAGTACATATTTACACTCAATAACAACTACTTTGGTTTGTGTTGATATATTACACTGAACTCGGCTGATACATTACACTGAACTCGGCTGATACATTACACTGAACTCGGCTGATACATTACACTGAACTCGGCTGATATATTACACTGAACTCGGCTGATACATTACACTGAACTCGGCTGATACATTACATTACACTGAACTCGGCTGATACATTACACTGAACTCGGCTGATATATTACACTGAACTCGGCTGATACATTACACTGAACTCGGCTGATACATTACACTGAACTCGGCTGATATATTACACTGAACTCGGCTGATACATTACACTGAACTCGGCTGATACATTACACTGAACTCGGCTGATATATTACACTGAACTCGGCTGATACATTACACTGAACTCGGCTGATATATTACACTGAACTCGGCTGATACATTACACTGAACTCGGCTGATACATTACACTGAACTCGGCTGATACATAACACTGAACTCTGAGCATTAAGTGAACAAGGAGACTGTGGATTGTTTGCACCGCCTTAACAGTTAAGTACCCATTGGCAGGTGACGTGTGTTGTGTGTACCCGTCCAATATAACTAAGAACAGCCGTACAGACACATATTGTTGTCAAAGAGTATTGTAAACATTAATTGGGTTAGGTTAGGTTAGACTATTAACATACCTTCACTTAGGGTCCAGGTAGGCAGGTAACAGCAGTACAGGTGTGTGATGTTCCGTGCGTCGACAGTCTCACAAGGCCTCAGGTAACATTATTATAACTAACCTCTAAGTCACTCGTTTGTTCGTTAACACTGACGTCAACGTTGTGGCAGGTCCATCACAGCTTGAGTTATTAAAGCAACACCGAGAAAATAAAAGAAAATCATTAACTAAGAATTAAGGTGAGGTGGGTGATTGACGCGATTATAATACCCTCACTCCTTTTTATATACTGGGGTGAAAAAACAATTTACTTAGTGACATTTCTTAATATTTTCTTGAGAAATAAACTAGAATACATTTTTGTAGTGTAAGAAAACTCGCCAGTCTAATATATGTTGTCTTCTACGTTATCTTTAACAAATAACAAGCAACAAAGTTTCCATAGTGTCTTCCCGGCTTAACACACCTCACAAAACCTTCCACTGAAGTATCAACTTAGCGTGCAAAATATATCCACTAATACGATCTTAATTTTTCTAAGCGGACCCTAAGAAAACACGAGTATGAACACAAGTGGCGAGTGGGTGTAGTGGGGGCGGGGGATCACGTACTCTCCCCGCGGCTGCCAGGGATGGACTGGCAAGGTCGGGTCGCCACCTCCAGGAGTCGAGGTCTCGGTGAATCTCGTAGAGTCTCGGACAGTTGGGGGTGCTGCCTCGCCTCAACACAAGCAGCACCACAAGCTCTTCCGTTCATTTCCGTGTGTGTGTGTGTGTGTGTGTGATTAAAAACTTAAACTTGGTTATTGTTGTTGTTATAATGTTATTACCGCACTACCACAACGAAGGTCTTTATAGGCGTAACAAGGTTAGTAAATACACTCTTGAGGTTGAAACACACACACACACACAGCGTCATTGAAGGCGAGTGAAAATGGTGAGTTTTTTGAGCGTGAGTGAATGCCGTAATTTAGACCACAAACAGGTAGTGATGAGCTAATTAGTCAGTCTCTTGATACCTGGGATTCACCGGAGCTAAAATGTGATTGTTCCTCACAGCGGAAAGTGTGATAATAAACGTGTTCCTTGTTCTTGTTACTTAATGATTTTCTGGAAACATCTGAAAATTAGGCACCCTAGTTGATTCAAGGTGATGATAAACAATCTTTACCCTCACCTTTACTTCATCTAATTCCTCCAGGTGGCGTTAGGTGTGTTTAATAAACTGGGGTGTCTAATCTTCAGGTTGTTGTTGTCCTGTGCTCCATCAGTAAAGTTCTTTGAGCAAGTAGAGTCAATAAAAAAATATTATGCCTCCCTGGGTGTGACGGCCGAACCAACCATCACTGACTGAGGCCATGTTTATCTGGTAAGGTTGGTACTTCTGATTGTGTGATGCATTGTGTAACCAAGACGATATTTTCTTTATATTAAGTTTAGTTAATAGAGAGTAATTAACAAGAATATCCCAAGTAAATGAGTGTTTTTCAGAATTCTTGATTCAGTGTCATATTGTATAATACCGTAAGATGCGGATATTTTTGTTGTTGACTGTACATTAAGGGTCTGGGGTAGACGTCACCAGCAGCCATCCGCACATCCTCAGGGCACAAGCCACTTATGGGTGACGTTACAACTTCTAAGCTACAAGTCTTAATATACTGTACACCACTTGCCGCCCATTATAGACCGTCTCTTCACCGCTTCTCTCTGCGTCATCAGAAACCCGAGTCAGGTTCCTGGGAGTTGGTCACTCTTGTAAGACTTCATGTGTGTCAGTCAGTCACCTGGAGACTCCCTGATCCTGTACCCATGTGTTCTACTGACGACACGAGGCGGATATTTCTAGGTTTTCCTCAGTGGTAACTTATTAACTTACTGAGTATAAAAATATATACATAAAAGTTTGTTAAAAAATACCAAAATAAAACATAAGTAGAGAACGAAGAGATAGATATGTACATAAATGCTCACAATGATGTAATGTACAGTGGCATTAATAAGTTAATTTCAACATTTATTCCACGTATGTAAATTTACTCCCTGCAGCTCGGATAGATTTTTATATTCTCGTATGACCACATCTTCATCACTCAGTCTACAACAACTCGTGGATGTCATAGATATAGATCATCCAATAAGCTCTTCACTAATGAATTTCCTGTGTTCCCTTGCTGCTACACTTGGTATTGTTCATCAATTGGTAATATTGGATCCTGGTGGCTCTCTGGACCAGCTGTCACTTGAAGGATCACTGAGGAGCTTAAGCTGGGGGAGTGAAGGAACCTTTACTACCTAATGACTGACTGACTGATTGACTGTCCACTAATGCAAGTAACTGACAGAGACACCCCTTAATATAACCTCCATTGACTGTCAACTATTATGGAACTAACAGATCCTTCACTTATTGGCTATACTCCTCAGAGATAAAGTGACACTAATTATACCCAGAAAGTGACTTACATCTTTATTGAGTTTGATGCTGATAAATGTTGTGGAGGTTTCTTGGTGTGCCTCGTTGAACATGTCTGCCCTTCCTCCCACAACAAGTCCCGTTTTGTTCGAGGATTCAGGTTTTGGTGAGTTTTCTTTTGTGTTGATGTAATTCATTTTCAGAATAACTTTTGTTTTGGTTGTATGAATATTTGTCGATCTATTAAATTGTGTGAGTGTGAGTGTGTTTATTTGAAGAGATATCTAAAGTTTGTGAGTATATTTGTCCGCCGAGTCGACCGCCTGCCACTTACCAGGACCAAACTCTCGCACAGAACAAGGCTGCATCTTCATTGAAACACACTTATCTGGTCTTGACTTTTATTTCATTCATTATACTCAAGCTTCACTTATGAACCAAATCTGTTACTTAATGCATTTGTATGACAATCTTTGACATTCTCTTTACATCTTATCTACTGTACATACCATAATTCTGTTTTGATGCCGTTAATAACTTCTTGCTTTGGTTTGTTGTAATAATTCATCACAACAATTCAGTATCAGTCAGTCGGTGTCACTCAGTACACAAACAACTCAATGGCCTCAGCTGTAGTATGAGAACATTACAGTAAGACATAGATCAAAGTGTGGCAGGTGTCCACTGTCCCGGTCACTGCTGGTGTCCACTGTCCCGATCACTGCTGGTGTCCACTGTCCCGGTCACTGCTGGTGTCCACTGTCCCAGTCACTGCTGGTGTCCACTGTCCCGATCACTGCTGGTGTCCAGGTAGTGTCACCTTCATTGGCAGGTGAGGCTGCCGGCACCCTCCCGCTTGCTGACACGCTCGGCCTTGAAGTTGAAGTGTCTGCAGGTACCGTCTGGCTTGTCAAAGATCAGCTCGTCCAGGGTGAAGGTGGTGGCCTGCCTCAGCTTAGCAACGATCTGCCGCTCCCCAGCCAGGGAGAGGCGGCAGGCGGGAAGGTAGAGGCGGCCGTAGTGAGTTGGGTAGATGCAGTTTAGTGCCCGTAACACCCACGGCGCGTGAGAGTCCTCCATCAAGGGTATAAACAGCCACAACGCCGGTGAGGGGATACTGGGCATCATTTTCAGCCATTTAATGTTAAGGGTTGGGAGACTGGTATCACAGTGACGCAGGTCAGGCATGTCCAGTACCAGGTTGAAGGAGTATAGTTTGAGTTTATGTAAGCTGGAGGCCAGAGCATCCAGCTCCTCTCTTGATATCACCCGAACGTGCATCTGCTGCACCGTTACCGGCACCGATCTGAGGAAGGAGGTACTGTAATGACCCTCAATAGACATAATTTGTAACTGCCTCTTCTTTATGGGTTCCTCCAGCAGATGGTCAGCGACTTGTTTATTGCCATAAGCTGTGGCACTACTGACGAGCGCCAGCCATATCCTGTGCCTTTTGTGTAAGATCATTTTCATCAAGTTGGACAAATCGCTCAAATTTTTAAGGTCTCTCTTGATCTGGAAGCAAACGAGAAGCTGATCATACTGCATGACTATTTTCTCAATGACTGGGTAATACAAACTGAGATCGTCATCACCAAAGCGTAGTTGAGGAATGAGAGCAACAACAGTGGTGAGTACAGACAAGTCCATCTTAGCCTCTAAACACAGAGATAGCCAACGGTTGATCTTCCCGGCCAGACAGTGTTCTTTCTCCTTGCCATAACCATTTTTCCATAAGTGCTGTACAATATCAACTCCATTCTTTCCAATTTTCCTCTCACTAGTATACGCGTTCTGAGAAGCGAGCAGCCCCAAGAGGTGCACCAGTATGTTGTTGTAGCGGTAGTTGTCGCCCTCCAGCAGAGAGCGGATGGTGGTGGCCCTTGATGAGTTCTTCAGCACAGTGGACAAATGCGTGGCAGCAAAGTGGTCCTGCAGCTCCCCGAGGTTCCAGAAGTAAACTGGTTGGTCGTCCTTTCCAGGCTTCGAGGCGAGCAAGCCGGCCAGAAGCTGATTTGTTTCCTTTCCACACAATTCCTTTACTTTTTGTAAACTTTTGTCTTGTAGAAGATGAGATCCAGCCTTGACACCTTCCCAGGCATCTTCTGCCATGAGCGAGAGCCACGGCCGCACCACTTTAATGAAGAAATTTTCACGATTGTTTTTATTTTTATCTAAAACTTTCTTGGTCAGAGAATTTATCACCTCAATGATTAAGTGTCTGTAGAGGTCAGTCAGTGAATGCACCTTCTCCATGCTCTCTGGGCTGTAGTTATACAATATACACAACAGAGTCACGTGTAGCGGCATCACCATGAGATGGTCGTGATGTCTCTTACGTGCCACTAAGAACTGAATAAATTTTTGGTGTCCGTTGGAAGTCAACTGCTGAAAAACATTAGCAGCTAAGGCACTGTCTCGGGTACCTCTTGGGTGGTCCAGAATGAGACACATGGGGGGTATGCCTGTTTCTATCACAACAGAGAAACACACTGGCATGAAATCAAGTTGACTTGTGAGAAACACTAGAGAAAACTTTTTGTAGATCTCATTTGCTAGTTTCTTGGCTGACTCATTGGCCCGATCATAGCCATCCAGTACCCAAAGGACGCAGAGCTTCTTGAGGGCTGGGATGATGCGGCCTGGCGGGAAGCAGCTGGTGGTCCTAGGGAGTAGTTCTTCACGCAGCAGCTGATCTGCTGTGGTAGCTCTTGTTGTTGATAAATTCACAATAAAGAAGAACTGTATTTTCTCCAGGTCCGTTATCACACAACCTCCTCGCATCCAGTAGTTTTGCAACTGAAGGAACAGCGTTGATTTGCCACTACCAACCGGCCCACCAACCACAGCATGACCGTGAAGCTCTTTTGTGCCATTAGCTACCTCCTTCAAGATCTTCGAAGCGAGGAAGACACGCGGCGTTATTGTAAAGTTTCCTTCGACGTTTTGTTCCAGTAGTGACAACTCCGAGTAAACAGAATCCAAGCGTAAAGAAATCATCGGCAGTGGACGAATCTGGAGTTCTTCCGAAATTAATCCTCCCAGTAACTCTTGTAAACCTTCCCGATGAAGAAGTTGGGCGTAACGCTGCGGGTCCTCTACAGGTGTCTGCTGGCTCAAGACTTTATCTAAGCGGGAGAGGACAGCTTTTGTGGAGTAAGTGAGATCTATGCCTGCCCGACACTCTGCCTCTTGAAGGATATTTTTGTATAGCTCCTTCAAACCAGTGACTTCTTCGTTCAAGCGTTCCTTTGACTCATAAGCGGTGGAAGTGCCTTTGTAAAACTGCTGAACATTGGAGGCGATAATGTGGAGGCGGTGCTCCAGGCAGTATGGAGGCAGACGGTCCCACTCGCTAATATCCGGAGAGGTTAAGCCACAAGTCCATTTCAGCACCACTAAACAGGTGTCGACGCCATAAGCCATCGCCGCTTGGTAGATGTCATAATCATTGTTGTTTTGCTCTATCCTCATCCTGGCCCGCTGACCCATGTTGAAGTGGGAGACATACTTTTTATACGTCCAGTCGAGGACCTGGTTGACGTAATCATTAGGATTTCGAGAAGCTCCCTTGTACAGGCTGCACAGCGTCAGGTAGAGCACCTCCTGGCCGGCGTCACAACAACTCAGGTACCACCGGAAGGCTCTCTCTCTGTCCCATCCCGCTGCCGCCATCACTGCCACAACCTGTAGTGTAAAACTCCTCTTTAATATACATGTATATATAAGGGAATAAGATAAGCTTTCTTTATATTAAAAAAAAACCTTTAACCTCATAAAAGATTTAAGAGAATAGACAACTTCTCTGAAAACTAAGTGTGTGTGTGTGTGTGTGTGTGTGTGTGTGTGTGTGTGTGTGTGTGTGTGTGTGTGTGTGTGTGTAACTTCATATTTTTATTACTACAGTTTAAGGGAAATTAATTCGTATATTTCAAATTTGCTCTGTTTCATTTAAGACGTTTGTTTACCATCATAGGTTAGGTTAGAAACAACAATTTTGTTTCTCAAGACGTGTTTCTAGTTTATTTACTACTCACGAATAGAAGACAGATCGGTAACTGTTCATAGGAGCAGTAGAAATGTGAGAGCTGAGGCGGGTGAACGGAAACAACACTCGCTTCCTGTTGTAAAAGCCTCTGTTTCTATCCCAGGACACTGTAAGTCTACCCTGATATAAAGTGACACTTGTTATTTTGTCTTTAAAGGGATATTCACACCCAGAGATACAGCTAACATGTTAATTCAGTATACCGTATCCATCCACACTGCTCCTAACAGACCGCTGGGCACACAAACACACACACACACACACACAAACACACACACACGCACACAAACACAAAAAACAAAACAAAACCAGTGAATAATTATATAAGATGTCAACATTATGATATATCCTATAATTTATTGGGTGGATGAAGCGGTATAGAAACGACAGAGGCAGTGGCCGAGTGATAGTGAGGGAGGGTGTAACGGGGGACAGGAAATGACATAAATACCCTCCCCTCACACCCCCTCACACCCCCAAATTTAACACAGAGCAATATGAAGCAAACGTTTATATCTTCTTCATTATTTACTATCGTTGGTAAATCGGAAACCCAGCACTACTAGGTAATGTATATGTGTTTGGATTATTGCAGTTTGATCCCCACCTTCAACATCGAGGCAGAGATCATTGAATCAATTTATAAGTGTCGAAGAAAGACGACAAACGATGGTGAACTTGTGATATTAAAGGTTTCAATGCTTTTACAAGGTGGTTTGTTGACATTCAGGTCGGTTATTGCCAGACTAAGTGATAAACAAATGAAAGCAGTCGAACACAATCTGATGAACTTAATGGTTTGTTTTTACATTCATAGATGGCAGACGAACTGTAGTTGCTACTGTCGCGTTTCTAGCTTCTTTTATCTCAAGTTCGTCGTTTTTTATTCTAACAGATACAAGAACTTTAATAAACACCAGTGAAAATTCGTAACAGAACCCAGTAGCCCATTTCTATGCCTGAGGAGCACTTACAGTTGGCCTCAAACAAATACCACATTCACTTCTTTAACTCAGTTACCCTTAAAAAAGATCGTACTGATTTCGTTTTCTTTTATACCTAATCAGAGAGAACAGTGTGACGAAAGATAACATTAGTCCTCGTTCGTTTAAGCCCAATGCTTACGCTTCTGGGATGTTATATAAGAATATTCCAGTCTGTCTACCACTGCCCTGTCACACTGAATATGTCACATACCAACTTTATATATATAATAAGAGAAATAAATTGCATCACTAATACTTTACCACTAAGCAGCTGACACCGTACTCCACTTTATGGCAGCTTGTGCACTGATTATCACCAACAATATAGTAAACCTTCCCGATACCTTACTTCTTTAAACAAGGTAAACATATTCTCTCGGTGTATTTACCATCATTATGATATGATTCATCTTGAATGAACCACAAATAAACATTAGGGGATTCACCACATAAACACACTATATGTTGAAGGTATTTCTTGTGACGAAGTTAAGTGTTATTCTGGTACAGTTAGCTACCCTGCGTCGTCATGGTTCGTGGCACTGTATACGTTTGATAATAAATAAGCAGGAAATATAGGACATAGTCTGGCTGTGCGGGGTTAACAATTTGATGACTACGATCACAGCTCATATTTAACTCTGTTCCCGCCCTGGCTAAATGCTTCCATATTTTCTCTGTTTTTTGTTGTTTTTTCACTAGATTATGTCTTTTTTAATATCATGTATACGACCATATCACACAACCACATATCATCACATACCACCATAACCATTTAACACTACCACAAATCACAATGCACACCGCCACCACAATCATCATGCACACCAACACCACAATCACCATGCACACCGCCACCACAATCACCATGCACACCAACACCACAATCACCACACACACCACCATAGTCACCACACACACCACCACAATTACCACCACCACCATCACACTACCACAACGTATTAACAAAATCACCTTTATCTTTCACCCAATTAATATAATCTCAATAACCATCTTTACTTACTGTGTGACTACTGGGGTGATGTGCAGCTCTTGTGATGTGCAGCAGTTGTGGCGAACAGTAGTTGTGATGTGCAGCAGCTATGGGGTGTCGCAGGAGATATGGGGTGCCGCAGGAGCTATGGGGTGCCGCAGGAGCTATGAAGTGTCGCACTTATGAGGTACAGCAGGACGAGGAGCTGGGGACTGCGACACACTGAGGGCAAGCAGAGGCGGGGAGACACGCTCGATAAGCTGATAACACTTCCTACCTCACCCTCCCCCCACCCTGTTGCCCCTCCAAATAAGATAGTAAGACCTGTTATTATCTCTGTCGGGGAGAGGGGGGAGGAGGGGGGGGGGTGGTAGTATTGATAAGCAAGTATTGTACACAAGAGATATTGGCCCTGTGGGTTAATCTGGGGTGTGTAAATACTGTGTACCCAAAGTAGTGTTGAATGTGGCGGGCATTAATACAATATCCCGAAGCATTAATAACTATATTTAAAGGAATTTATTAAACTTCTATATTCTAACTTGAAAGCACGTGAAGTTTAGGTATCCCAGGTTGTTTCATGGTGGTAAACGTGATGAAATAAATTGGGGTGCTTAATTATCACGTGATCTCATAAATTCAAGTGTTAGATATGACAGCATTGCGTCCACTCCTGACGTCCCGTCGTAAACCACAGGGCTGTTTATGCCACCAGACTCAAGCGTGGAACAGCTGACTTCACTCACGATATATTGATACGTATTTTTTTACACCGTTTTTTGATTATATAAAGTTAATAAAAGTCCTTATTTATATCAAAGTGATTTTCATGATAGTTTATATCTACAATAAAAATAGTTTAGGAATTGTATTTTTGTGTTATCGTTGAAAGAGAATAATTAAATGTTGCTCAGTGATGAAATGACACATAAATCACCTAAAAGTCAGCTAACAAAAAGGGGTTGAAGCCACAAGTCCAGAAAACTGTGAGGGGTAACTTTTTCGGAGTGAGAGTTGTGAACTCTTGGAACAATCTACCAGAGAGTGTTGAGACGGCACCGAGTGTGAGCTCTTAAGACCAGACGTGACCAACACTGGAGCAGGTTCAGGTACATTCAGCAGCCAGTACATGCCCAGTACTTGCCTACAGTGCGTAACACGTAACAGAGACGTGACCGATCGCCGAAGTGGCTAACGAGCTGATCAGTGGCGAAGAGGATAAAAATAGAAATAAGAAAAGTTGTAAAAGACAGAAAAGTATTGTGCTTCAGAATACCTTGGACAAAACTATCTAGATTCTAGAACAATTGCGGGAATTTACACAGACCACTGGTTTCATTTATCTCTGTTAATAACCTGTAGGTGGGATGACCATTAGGTAAATTAAGTAAAAGTAACGATAAATTGTTAAAAGGAACCGTATTTGTTTAACGTCGGTCTCAGTATATTTTAAGAAAAAGAATAATAGAAAACGAATTCAAAGAATTATCATAGAAAACAATAATATTCCCTCCTAACTATTGGGCAAACTAAAGTAGAGCATAAATGTTGCTATTCTGTCACCATATGGGTGTCCTCCCTCGTCCCATTGCAAGTTAAAGGCTATATTAGATGTATAATGATGTAAGATAAAATATTTTGTCTTCCTAAACATCATAAGTAACCTATCATTAACTTTAGTCCGATTATAAAACTCTTGAAGTATAGTGAAGAAGATTGTGACTCGGTTCTCCGTTAAATACATGACCTCATCTTTATCGTTGTGTAATATTTGTATAATGACTTCAAGCCTAAGGAAATGACATCACGTAGCATTTCAATCATCCAGTGTCAGTTGCCAGTCTTGATCAGCAGGTACTGTCCTCAGAGTGTAACATGTCTCTCTCTGTCTGTGTTCCTCACCTCTCCCTCCCCTCCTACACCCCTCACCCCTCTCTCCCCTCCTACACCCCTCACCCCTCTCTCCCCTCCTACACCCCTCACCCCTCTCCCCTCCTACACCCCTCACCTTTCCCTCCCCTCCTACACTTCTCACCTCTCCCTCCTCCCACACCCCTCACCCCTCTCTCCCCTCCCTACCCCCTCACCCTCTCTCCCCTCCCTACACCCCTCACCCCTCTCCCCTCCCCACCCTCACCTTTCCCTCCCCTCCCCACCCTCTCCCTCCCCTCCCCACCCCCTCACCCTTCCCTCCCTCCCTACACCCCTCACCCTCTCCCTCCCCTCCCTACACCCCTCACCTCTCCCTCCCCTCCTACACCCCTCACCTTTCCCTCCCCTCCCTACACCCCTCCCCTTTCCCTCCCTCCCTACACCCCTCACCCCTCTCTCCCCTCCCCTACCCCCTCCCCCCTCTCTCCCTCCTACACCCCTCACCCCTCTCTCCCCTCCTACACCCCCACCTCTCCATATTAACTAACTGCCAACTGATATAAAAAGCGTCAAGGTATTATTTTTTAATATATGTTCAAATTTTATAAACGTTTATCAAGATTTGTTTTATTATTTTTTATGTAATTTTATCCCCTTGAGTATAATAAAAATGACTTATGATTCATTATTCTCAACAAGGCAAGAGGACAACCTGGAATTACTACCCTTAATTAATATGACCCGGAAATATACACAGGACACGTATATATATAAGCAAGACACATCACTAGTTTCAAAGGTATTTAGGATACAACATTAAATTAATTATAACAAGAGTAAACGAACACAATTTCATAATATTACTAAAATTATGTCT